AGTGGACAAAGTTGAAGGGGCCCAAATACCTTCTCAAGGCACGGTAGTATATAGAAAGATAGTAATAATAATAAAAAAAAAAAGCTTGACATTTTGAGAAATATTCTTAGATGTTTTCTTGCTGGGAGAAGAGCAGACTAACATGAGTCTGATATGAGTGTCCTAAACATGAAATCCATCATCAGCAGGCAGGTAACGTATCTTAGCACAAAGACTGGAAATGGGGGAAACAGTGAGCCTAGCTCTGTCCAGTGGTAACAAAATCTGCCTGCTGCACCTCTAAAGCTCTCAAACAGGCATATCTCATTATTTATTTACAGAAAATCTCTCAGAAAATCAAACACCCTTGCAGCACACTGCTAACTCTTGCAGACACCAGCCCAGTGAAACAAATACACAGATGTGTACCCAGATTTACACAGTGTATAACAGGGCTAGCAATAAGATGGACAGCATCTTTAACAGAACACCAAAAACTAAATCACTTCCTCTCTGACAGTAGGGAGTGCAGAGAGCGTACCTTGGACTCCACGTCAGCGTTGTGGTCATTCTGGAGGAGGAGGGCAGCAGCTTTGGTGTCATCTTTCCGTGCGGCGATGTGCAGCGCCGGGAGGCGGACTTTCCCCTTTGTGTCGTTTTCCAGTAGGAGGGAAACCACCTGATCATGGCCCTGCTGCAACGCCACCGCCAGAGGAGTGAAACCATCCTGTGGACCAGCAAAAACCGTAACACACATCACTGGCTGTCCATAAGATTACTGGAAATAAAGAAACTGCAAATTCAGTCAGTGTCCAGGTGTTACTTCTTCTTTTACTGTATACTGCACTTTATTTTGAGTAAGTTTAGGTAAAAATAAGAGTGTAAAAGTTTGGCTTACAAAGAATAGAATAGAAAACAACTTTACTGTCCAGGTGACTGCTGTCTTTAGTATCACCTCAGATACATGTATTTATCATATCATTATATCAGGCTGCTATCATCCTCACAATGACCATGCTAACATTTACTTATTTGCACTAGTGCACCCCGGCTGCGGCTGATGGAAATGGAATTTGTTTTGCAGGTATTTAGTTATGCCACACATTTTGGTCTGATGAAGGCACTAGATGAAAAGTCAGGGCGTCACCTAAGTGATTACGTTGCATCCTGAGGGGGGTGCGGATGTTTGTATAATGTTTCATAGTCATCCATCTGATAGCTGTTGACATATTTCACTCAAACTTGCCTCATGTTGGCAATAAAGGAAAAGTAAGAGGATCACCAGTCAGTACAGTCCCTCCTCTGGAGGCAGTAAATGTCTTTCTATCAGATGTTTCAGCTCTAAAAAGCACATAGAAACAGCATACACACCCAAACACACGACCGGTGGCTGGAAAAACCCTTCTTATAGCATTGGCTAGGTGGCAGGCGTAGCTGATTTACAGACCGTACTTTGACAAGTATGAAACCGACACAGCTGCCTAGAAACTGTACTTTGCAGCAGTGGGAGGTGAGAGTAATCCCACTGCACTGTAGACTGCAGTACATGTTCACCGCTGTTTTGTTGAAAAGAACTGCCCCATAAATAAATGTGTTTTATAAGGGGAGGATCGATCCAAACAAGGCTGCGTATGTTACAGCTCAGTCTTGCAGGGGTTGCAGTTGGGCATCTGCCAGTGCTGCTGCAGACGATGGATCAGTCTGACACACTCACAACATAGCGCTCGCTTACGCCACAGTTGTCAGACACTGGTTCCTCCCTCTGTAGGCAGCTGAAAACAGCTAAGGTCACTCTGAAGGAATACACACTGCTGCAGCTGCTGCCTGCTCTGCCACTGACTCACCATTTAGTCAGCAGACTAAGCTCTAAAAACAGCTGCCCTGGTTTATGCTTTCTTCTGATAGTAAACACTGATTTCATGCCGTATATTCAGCCTTTGTCTCCTAAATGAGACGCCAGTGGCAGTCACACATTGGCAACAAGAATCTGTTGATCATAATGCTGCAGTGTAATTATGGGGAGGTTAAATGAGGGCTGAAATCATGGTAGCTAATAGAAGCTGTTATGGGCTCAAGAGTGTGTGCACAAACAGCCATCAAGTGTATATGTATAGTATGTGCATGTGTGTGCGTAAGTTTCTTCACCTCAGTGGCGATGCTCTGACTGGAGCCGTTGTCCAGTAAAAACTGCACCACGTCCAGGTGGTTCTCCTGCGCCGCCATGTACAGCGGAGTGAAGCCATTCTGCAAAAGAGTGGAAAACACTGTCCTCTTACTTTGTCTTACCAACAGTCTAAAGTTAATTCTCTATCTGAGAAGCGAAATCCAGCTAATTTTCAGCTAACACAATTATTCAGTTATCAGAATAGATGCAAATACATTTTCTGTCAAACTACTATTCAATTAATCAAAAAATCACTGAATGTCTAGTAAAAATTACAAGGTATTAATGTTTTTGTTTTGAATTTAAATAAAAGCTTTTCTGTAACATCAATAATGTTGTTTAAGCTGTTGTCATGGATTATTCATTTTATTTTTATTTTTAATTAATCTCCAAAAGAGCGATTAAAAAAGAAAGAAAGTAAATACAGGCCCCATAATTTCCTAATAATTCCTAATGAAGTAAGTGTACTGGAATAAAATGTGTAACTTTATACTACTTAAAAAAGAAATGGAAACAATTCTGACACAATATGCATAGTAAATAACCATCGCCTATAGTTTTAATTTTAAAGAATGAGCCAGAATAAGATGTATGGTAATAAACTTTCTCTCTCTATTAGTGTTAAATTCTCTTCTGTCAACAAACTTCACATTTTTGCAGACTGACCTGCTGTAGACAGACTAAAACACATTTCTCTGTTATTTGTACCTGGTGACAGTTACACAAGCTCTTTTCTAGTATCAGCCAACTAACACCAAATGCAAAAACAAATGCTCAGAGGACCAAAGTTATTGCATGAAAAACCCAGTCAGGCTGAGTTTAGTGCAGACTAGGGTGATACTATGATCTAATCCATTAAAATCTCTGCTTACATTAGGTCACTGAGGGCAATGTTGGAAATCAATAAGCAGGAGAACATGACCGAAGGCTGCATCGTATCACTCAGAACTACTTCAACGCAGGGACGTTGTGTCTGACATCTACAACTGCACATGAATGTACTGCTGCTGCAGACCTATCATGGAGCACATACTGTCACCTCTATACTTACCTCACACCTGAAAATGATGCACATAAGAGCTGATCTGGAGCTCAAGTTGAACATGTCTTGTGTGTGTGTGTGTGTTGCAAAACTTAGTAGGAGATCTCCATAGCAACACGAGGATCACTTCAGCATGCAAAAAGCTCCTCTTCCTCCTCCTCTCCTCTTTGTATTTATTCTGGTGTCGCTGCACCAACAGCTTCTCTCGCATAGACCACTCTCTAATAACACATTTCAGTGAATCTTCAGTCAAAATGCAGCTATGACCTGTACAAATAAAGCTAAACTCACCGAAGGCGAACAATTCAACATCTTTTTTTCACATACCTAAACAGAACCTCAAAGTGCATTTGAGAATTAATAAGGTGGGTGTTTGTAAAGTTAAAGAACCAGCTCAACAGTTTGGGAAATCAACTTGTTTTTGCCAGAGTTAGATGAGATGTTCAAAATCACTCTTGTGTTAACAGCACACATTGGAGCTATATCCACAAGGCTGTTAGTTTATCTTATCCTTAAACACTGGAGAAGGGAAAAAGCAGCTAGCCTGGCTCTGTGCAAAGGTAAAAACATCCAGCAGTCCAGTAAAACACCACCACTGACTGTGACTTCAACACTCAACATACTGGACAGTATAACTGAGCTAACACGTCTACTGTATGTCAGAAAAACTGACCGGTATAGGCATCATCAAAGTCCACTTTATGGCAACACAGCTGTATTACTGTAGATTGCATTTGATTATAGAGGCACAGCTGGTGACAAATGAAATGACAAACTAGCAAGTGAACAACATAAACTTTTTATTAAAGCTTTTCCAAAGCAGCATTTTTACCAATTTCTGACATTCTGTAAATAAAAATATAAATCAAATAATCATGGAAATAATCAGTAGATGAATCAGTGACTCAGGGGTTTCCTTGATTTGTCACCCATCTGTAGGTGTCTGCTTTCCTTATGGTGCTGTCCTCTGAGTTAATCTTAAAAATAAAACTTTAAATCATATGATATCACTAAACAAACTATATATTCAATGAATTTTCAATATAGCTCCTCAGTTACAAACCCAGATTTCCTCCTCTGTGCAGCTCCTGCCAAAGCTTTGACACCAACATCTTTATAGTTGCTGTTGTGACCAGATCTGTGTGTGCATGCTGCTGACTACTGAATGTGGGTCGGGCAGCACTGCAGAGCCGCTGACACAGCACACACACAGACACAGATAGTCACTGTGTGTTTAATAGTTGTAAACGCATGAACGTACACACTCAAACACGAATTTCCAACAAAGATGACTTCACAACTGGAGAGTTGTGTGTGAGTGGGAGTGTAAGTGTCTTTCTATGGCTGTATGGACACCATCATTGTGAGGACAGTGTGGCCGGTTGTTGAAGGGTTCCAACTTTGTTTTAGGGTTAAGATTAGAATCAGGGTAAAGCTTGGGGTTGCCGTAGTTAAGGTTCAGGGTTAGGGAATGCATTATGTCCTCCCAGCTATAAAAAGACCAACCTGTGTGTCTTACCTGAGACTGTGCATTGATGTTGGCGCCATGGGTGACGAGCTCCTTCACCACCTCTGCCTGCCCGGCTAGAGAAGCTATGTGGAGGGCAGTGTTTCCTTTCTGCTTTGGAAAACAATGAAAAACATTTTAAAGTCTTTTACAGTAACTTTATCAGTAATTATACAGTAGTGTGTCTTTGTGGGTGCGGCTCATCATCATCACCTGCACAAAGAAACTGTCTATAAAGAATTTGTCTCAAATTCATATTCCTGAAAATTATACCTCTGTCAAATGTATAACCAATACTGTACATATTTTTATTTTTGTAGTGACTGAAGATCAAGGTGAACCAGAAGAGGAACTAGCACGAGATGCAACTGCTGCATCAGAATAGAATTTAATTACTTTCCTCTTGATGGATGCGTTTATCATGTGGAGTTACATCATTGCTGGTTCCTGTTGACTGTCTCACTGTCACGTCATTTAAATACACCACCCAGCCAATAACCGTCATGCACAGGTCAGCACAGACGGCCTCCTTTCACTAAATCACTTCACTCAACTGCTCCGCTAACACAGCCATTTATCTCCTGTAATGCTGCTCAAGCAGTTTGACTTTGAGAAGGAGCTGATGCAGCAAACTACAGCTATGTGTGTGAGAGCTCATGCATACACTGCGTGATTGTGTGTTTGTGTGACACACACCTTGGTAGCTGCATCCACATTGGCGCCATGCTTGATCAGCTCAGCCACCACTTCCACATGACCCTCCTTCGAGGCCAGATGCAGAGCATTCAGACCGTTCTGGAGCGAGAGAGAGAAATTTGGTAATGATGTTGCTTATTAAAGGTGCATTGACTAAGATTTCACACATTGAATAATAAGGTGTGACAGGTGGGGATCACTGTCATTCTCTTCCTCACCGAGCCAGGTGCTTGCTCAGTTTGCTGGGTTATTCCTCTACTAGACTTTACTTTGTAAAGTGTCCTGGGACAACTTTTGTTGGTGCTATACAAATAAAACTGAACTGAAATAAATTGAAAATTTCATTGGATTAATATCTATGTAGTGTTTGTGGGACTGAGTCTAAATATACTACAGTGTGTGTTCATGGTAATGGTGGAGCACCACACCCAGTGCGACCTGCAGCTCACTGATGTGTTTTTAATAGATTACAAGCAACAGTGGAACTTTTTGACACAGATGAATTAAAAAATATATTGTTTGCTCACAGCTGAGTTTGGTGTTTTCATGGGGTTTGTTGACAAGAAGAGGAATGTGAAAAATCCCCAGCCTTAGCCTTTAAACAATTACTTAAAAACTTTTTTATTAACAAATGAAACTGGTGTCCACAGTGGCTGCCCAGATATAGCCATCCATCCATCCTCTATACTGCTTATTCCTGAATAGGGTCGTGGGGGGGCTGAAGCCAATCCCAGTTGACACCCTGGACAGGCCACCAGTTTATCACAGGCCTGACATCTAGACAAACAACCACATACACCCACACTCACTCCTACAGGTAATTTAGAATCTCCAGTCAACCTAAGCTGCATGTCTTTGGACAGTGGGAGGAGGCCAGAGCACCCGGAGAGAACCCACTCAGGCACAGGGAGAACATGCAGACTCCACACTGAGAGGCCCCGGGTAGGTTGGGACTCAAACCCAGAACCTTCTTGCTGTGAGGTGACTGCCCAGATTCAGTGGTCTACAAAATCTACAGTAACTCAGACCACTCTCAGTGAAAAAAGACAAAGACAAAGATTTCCCAGCCAGCTTAGCAAGCTTACCTGGTTACAAATATTGATGTCGACCCCATTCTCCAGGTAGTCTAAAGCTTTCTCTAGGTTCCCAGCCCGAGCTGCTCGTAGATAACAGGCGTTTACATCCGTCTGCAGGAAGACAGAAAGTGGGACAGGATGGTTTGTCATCTAAATCTCACAGCAGGACACACACACACATCCAAACCTAACATCTGGTGCACGTGCACCTGCCTCCAGGACTGTAACCGTCTCTCTCAGGGGAGCAACAGCAACAGAGCAGTTTGCACTGAACCTGTCTTGAGTAAAGACATTATGAAGGTGAGACGGAGCGTCTGCTGTGTGTGCACATATGTACATCTGTGTCTGTGTGATTTCAGGATGGGCTGACCATAAGGGCGGCAGACTGCAAAGACAGAAACTGAGTGTACGTTAGTGGTGTAGAGGGATGCTGGAGAATGACGGGAGGTAAACGAGGCAGTCGGCCAGTGTGAGTCTCTGACTCCACAATTGCAGTGCAGCGCTACAGTCTGCCACACCAATGTCAAACCGTCCCCGTAGGATAAATATTCACAAACTCACTGTCACACACAGACTGTTCTTGATGCATGACACCAAACAGAGCCATGTGAGACGCCAAGCTAGTCATGTCCAAGTAACACTGACATCAATAAGAGCAACATCTACAGTTAGTTTGAACAGGTTATGCTAAAATCTACTATGAGATTATTATTGAGAAAAACATCATAATAACACAGTGAACACATAGTCTATGAACTATATAACTTTTCCTGGACAGCAGCCACTTTGGCCAAAATGACAAGTACACACTGAAATGTAGCTTTACAGTAGCACAAGAACAGGGGAGTGCAGTGGTGTAATGTAAACCACTTTTCACTCTTAAAAATCCTATTTCTGTCTCCATCTCTTGAATCCTTCATTAAAGAGCACAAACTGTGTCCTGTCCTGTCATCACAGGAGTCTCACAGTTGAACAAAATGTTCAAATGCTTTGTGCGTTTCAGCCTCTAAAGAAGCCTTCAAGCTGCCGTAGCTTTCTGGTGGAGTATGTTCAGACAGTACGCAGACAATATGCAGGGCTGAAAAAAAGCCTCCAACTCCTCAGAAATGTTTTTTTTTTTACAGATAATTCTCCTGGAAAGATGCAAGAGCTGCTCATCAATCAAACATAATGCAGTAAAAGATAAAGTTCTTTGTAGTAGAAATAGAAATAAAACATAGAACCTTGAGCTAGCATACTCAGACTAAAGGAGGGCGTGTTCAACTGCTCAAGATGTACATGAACTCACAAAAACAGGCAAAACACAGGGGCGCTAATGACAGGCGTGCAGCACAGACTTTTACTTATTATTTTTGTTTTTGATTGCCAAATTTTAGTCCTGGCTCCATAAATAGCAGTAACATTATGTTCAGTGTACAATCATTAATGGTTTTATTCCCATACATTAGTTCAGATGCTGACCTGTGTAGGTGTTTCTGCCTGAACTAAATGGCCTGGGGTTTAAGTGTACCTTTAAAAACATCACTGTCACATATGATGTGATGTGACAGTGGATTTCAAAATCAAATAGAAAACAGTTTTGCATTATTTAAAGAACTGTCTTGTGCTCAGTGCACCATGACCTTTGTTATAGCAGACAGATTGTTAGCTGAAGCTGGTGTTGGGCTCATTCCCCACACAATGGGTGCATCTTATCAGAGTTGAACATCATACAAACACAAACACAGGCTGTGTTTCCAGTGCCAGCATCCATTTAGCGGGGCAGAGACCAGACGTCAGGAGCTGGCAGCAGACACACCGAAGTTTTGTGAAGTATTACACAGAGCTGTCAAATACATTTTATTATTGGTAACATTATATTTTTAGTCCTTCTAGTTACTATTTATAACATTTAATAATGAATAAATGGTTATTTTCTTTATTTAGGTAATTATATTGTTTGCCTCTGAAAGTAAATCCTTTCCAGCCTGGTGGCATAAATAGTTCATGTCTTTCTTAGATGCTAAGTACACATGTAGTGGAAGTACAAGCTGCAGCTCAGATACATGCACAGTGTGTAATTCTAGCTCTTCATATCAAATTTAAACTCAATTTATTCAGTAGTTAAACCAGGCTTAGTAACTACTCTATGTTCTTTGGCTGTTTAAAGTTTACATTTCTCACTAAACAAGACATTCAGTGAGAATTCTGTCTGCCACTGTTCTAGAAAGGCTTTATGCCATGACAGGCAGTGTGCCGTGCAGCCCTGACATGGGTTGTAAGGCACTGTACTAAGCCTCGGAGTTAAAAGTGGGACCAAGCTTGGCTGCTCATAATCCATCATCAGAATTCCAGTTCAAATTCCAGTTACTTCTTAGAAGGAACTCTGGCCACAGAGCGAAGTGAAGACAAGCTGGGCATTTCCCAGTTTTGTAAACCTGACACCACTAACTGCAGACCACAGCCTGTCAGGGCCTTTATGTTTTCATCACATGACAGAATCCGAAGGCAGAAACATCTGTGCTGATGTGGGCCAATCCGAACAACTGGAAATAAAAGTAAACAGCTCATTCAGTTGTGAGAATCAAATGTCGTCCGTGACAAAATGAACACAAATGCCATGAAGATGATATTTTCAAACTTCCGTTCAGGTGAAAGTAAAGTGCGTCTGGGGGTGTAAGGTAACAACACAGTGGAGGCTTGTTCAGCATTAGCGACGGTGTCATTCCAGTGTCCTTTATTTATCCATGGAAGATATGCACAGAATGCACAGTCGCTCCTTCTCCACAACACACAGCTTCGCCCTCACACAGTTGACCACATTCCACCCTGGAAGCTGCCTCTTGCAACAGACAAGAACCCTGAGGGATGGCAGAGTGTTAGCCACTCACATCAGCCACTAGCTTGTCTGCATTAAATATATTTGAAACACCCGTTCAGTGGCAAACCTTTGAAAACCATACACTACTGTACATTAGATTTATGTTCTCCTGCTTGGTTGTCTTTGCAGGTTTGCACATATCTGTTTTTTATTTTTTACTTCTCCCTCTTGCGCAAACATAAGGAGCATACGCCACTGTCCAAGGTCAGGTGCCTCCACTCACATCACTCTGCAACAAAAGACTGCATCCACACAGCTGTGTACGTTTTTTTGAATTATATATATATAATCACAGTGAAGCAGTTAGGAATGCAAACAGACACACAGGGGTACACACACACATATCCACGCAATGCAGCAGAGTGGTGCAGCAGAGGTGAAACTGCATCCCATCAACGTCCCACCTCCTTCAACAATGTCCCATCACTGGACCGGTTAACGCAACCACAGCACTAAATCCTACTGACTACAAATTCCCCAGTCTTGTTAGCATTAAAGCAGTGCAGCAAGAGAGAGGAGAAGTCTGTTTACAGTCAGAGAGCTCAGTGACTCCACAGTAAAAACTTACTTCTGCCAAATAGTCTGCTGCCTCCTCCACTGCCATGTTTCTCAGCCTGCAGCTCAAAGTGTGAAATCTGAGCACTCACTACTGTACTGTAGCAGCTAGCCTTAGCCTGGAGGCTAGGGAGAGAGGGCAGGAGAGGAGAGGGAGAGGGGGAGGGACAGTGAGAGGGTGACAGTGAGTGAAAGAGTGAGAGAGGTAATGCCATTATGTCACAGCTAAAAATACCTGGCAGGCAGTGAGGAAGTCCAGAGTGTGGAGGAGGAGGAGGAGGGAGAAGGAAGAACTCCAGTCTTAATCTCAAACCAACTCTCCAAAGAACAACACAGGGTCACGGTGTACGTGTGTGTGTGTGTGTGTGTGTGTGTGTGTGTGTGTGAGAACCAACTGGCAAATGTTAAAACAGGATAGAAAAATCAAAGTTTCTTTGAGAACACTTTGTCTTACGGGTCTGTTATAACCAGTGTTGGAAAGTAACTAGGTATATTTACTCAGGTATTTATAATTTACTTGAGTATTGACATTTTCTGCTACTTCATAATTAGACTTCATTATTGTACTATTTACTCCACTGCATTTAAACTAAGTATAGAAGCAAAATGACTACAAACACAACAAGACAAAACAGACACAAAACAACCACAGATGTACAAACCAACTAAAAAGGGTCTGAGGGGTCTTGCTCTACAGGATGTAGGAAGTCGGGGCCCCTTTCCGGGGCCCAGTGTCTCATGACCCACCCATGTGTACCAAAACGTTCAATCCATGGGGCTTTCCATGAATATTTTAAAATGACACAGCAAGCGGAAGCACTGTTTGGAAATACTAGTGTTCGCAGTATATTTGGTGTAGTCATATTGACTGCTGAGGTAGAAACACAAGCACTATGTTACTTATTACATGAGGGAAAGTATTGGGTGTCGCAACAGGCACAGGTGCACTATTACAAAAGGACCTGCTCACGGAAACAGCATGAGCACGTCTCCTTCTGGTAAGTTCATACATAAATCAAACCTTACATGGCTAACATTTTAACAAACTTCATAGAAACTGTTTTACACCCAAACTGTTTGCTTTCTTCTCAGAGGAGCCACACAGCCTCGTCTTCGTAAAATCACACAGCCGGTACAGAATGATGGTATGTGACGCAGCGACACGCAACCTGCTCCGACAGTGCCAGTGGGACTATTTCACTGTCTGCCTAAGCTCATTATAAAATAATTCATATGATTTATCAACCAATGCTACTCAAAATACCTGATTTAGTTAGAAAATTCATTGGTAAATATATTGATAATCAATTAATTCATTCACTATTCAAAAAATTAAGTCATTTCTTATGTAAAGTTACAAACATTTTCTGGTTCCATGTCCTCAAATGTCAGAATTTGATGCTTTTCTTTGTTGAATCTGATGGTAAATTTAACAAGTCTGGGCTGTTGGTGAAATTAAACAAGTAATTCAGATACATCACCTTGAGCTTTTGGAAATCATAGTGGGCACCTTTCATTGCTTTCCAACATTTTACAGCCAAAGCAATTCATCGACAAAAGTTTACAACAGAAACAAGTATTTGATTGGTTCAAAATCGACTGCAATATTCTTTGGTGTTTTTATTGTATTGTACTTTATTACGTTTTGGTTTTATGTAACATTTACATATTGCAGTAAAACAACCTCGAAAGGCAT